CATACCCTCAGCCCATTTTAGTTAACTGACACCCAAACTCCCAGCTATATTGGTCTACAGTTTTGAATAACTCCCAAAGGTCCCTGTTCCAGGAGAGTCTCCCAAACAGGGCTCCTTGTCGTCTTGAGTTTCCCTCTCATTTTCTGTCCTCCTCAGCCCAAACGACGGATATGCCTAGTGATCGTCTACATGTTGTAAGGCGCTCCCAGTACAAATTAAGACAGTGGAAGTGGACTATTCTGCATGGAGACTCATGCCTGAGATCAGAGTTGTTCGTTTTGCTGCTCTTAGGTGAGGCGGAGGGTGCCAGTGTTGAAGAAAAACTTCATTGCCAGTGCTGGCAGCTTCAATACCCAAAATGGGATGGGGCACCATCTTACCACCACACCTAGGAAGAAGACTTGAGAGAGTCAAAGTAATAATAGAAAGGTCATATGTACTGAATATTCATTTTATTTATTCAACTTCTGTACCACTTTTCTGTATAACAATAGGAGATCTGGCAAACAGTGACCAGATTATGTAACTACAGGCGGGTGAGTTTGAATTGATGTCCAGGAAGAAACCATCCCCCAAATCCCCATGGCATATAAAAAAAGCAACATCTCATGGCTCCCCGCCTAAAGCTAGAGAGACAATTCTCTCTCCTTGTTAAGTGAGCCTTGGGTATATGATTTTAATATGTGCAGCTGGGCTCCACTACCCAAGGTGCACATGCTAGGCCTAAAGTACACCCCCAGAGATGCCTCTCAAGTCAAAGGCTGTGGAAGGTGAATCAAGTATACCCTTAACCCAGTAATGTCTCAATTAAATTATTAAATTGTCCTATCTGACCACATTGAATGCATTGTGGAGCAGATTGAAAAGAAGTCCTAAGGCCATTCGCAAGCTCCCTGAAAAAAATCTTAGTCATCCCCTGAAAGAATGACCAGCAAAAACCCACAATGTGGAGGGAAGGTGGACTTCACAAAGAGAAGAAGGATGTGAAGTGCCCTTCGATGTGATCCAGCGACACCTTACCCTGGGAGAGACCAAATCTCATCTTTTCTCAAGAAGGGGGGAGGTATGGCAAATTACCCATGGCTTAAGTGTGGGAGTGGCATTGTCCTGGGCAAAAACAACCCTGAATATTATGATGGAGAATGCTTGAGTTGTTAAATCCACGAAGAAGGAAAGAAGGAAAAAACTCCATGAATTTGTCTGGGCAAGGGAAAATAGAGCTGAGTGGTTAACTTGAGCAATCTGTCTCTTTTTATCTCTTTCTCTTATTTATTTCCTGGCAAGAATTAACACACGTGGGAGAACATTCCCTATGTGTAATAAAAAAAAGATTACTTTCATGTAGTTTTGATTGCTAGGGTTTTCCCCCCACTACCACTGAAAAGAGCCTGCTTCCATAACCTTTACAACGAGAACTGTGTTGTAAAGCATTTGGACTGAGCTCCCTGATTTGTAGTAAATGTTTTTACTGCGTGGTGGGTTAAAAAGAGGAAACACACAAAGATTAGATTTTATTGTTACTTGTAGGTGTGCAATTTCTGAGGGGCCGTTTGGATTCTGTGCCTCGCAATATTATTTACCATCCGTTCCAATTTACCCCACGACAGAAAAAAATAAATATATATTATAAAATCAAACTGCTGTGCTCAGTGTAATTTACTTGAGCTGTTAAAATTTATGGTTATGTATGGACCGTGGCAATATATACATATAAACATTTGTACTCATATAAATGGTATGTGTGTGCACTTGCACAATGCTGCAGAGGAAAGGATTGCCACAGAGTTTGACGAAATCTCATAATAACCCTTTCCTATCTATTGTTTGCCCTCCATATGGCCCTAGACTGTGAATTACTCCTCCCCGTTAGTACATTGTCTCTTAAAGACACAAGAGAGTCCTGCTAGGAACCAAAAAGCAAGGCATCAAAGCCATATATACATCTCTTCTGTTACCCCTTCTAAGCAACTGCCTCTAATCCCGGGAGCTCCTTTCATCAGGGATAAGGAAACTGTGGCCCTCCAGATATTCTTGAACTACAACTCCCATAATCTTTGACCATTGGCCATAATGACTGAGGCTCTTGGGAATTGGGAGTCAGAGAGTCCAAGAAGCTGAAAACATGCCAGTTTTGAAAGCTGGGGTAAAAATTTAGATTTTCATGTTCAAAATCTGAGTGGCAGAATTGGGAATTTTAATGAATCCCAAATATTTGTATTTGTTTTGGTTCTGGCTAGGGATGAAAAGATCTGTCAATTTCAATTTCTTACAGTTATTTATTTTTCCAATCCACAGTTCACTACATTTCCATATCATTTTTTAAAAAGTCTTCATGAAAATCTATCAGCATTTGAATACAGTGGTACCTTGGGTTAAGTACTTAATTTGTTCCAGAGGTCCGTTCTTAACCTGAAACTGTTCTTAACCTGAAGCACCACTTTAGCTAATGGGGCCTCCAGCTGCTGCCGCGCTGCCGGAGCACAATTTCTGTTCTCATCCTGAAGCAAAGTTCTTAACCCGAGGTACTATTTCTGGGTTAGCGGAGTCTGTAACCTGAAGCGTATGTAACCTGAAGCGTATGTAACCCGAAGTACCACTGTATACATTTCCCCTAATATACACAATTCTATGCAATATTGCCTAAATACACATACCTTTTGCAAGCAATTTCCCCTCATATATTTCATTTTTTTGTATGGCACTTTCACTAATGTGTGCATTTAATTGAGGCATTAACTGGGAAAGAATTGGGATATCACTCCAGAGACTTATGTGCCCAGAAATATTCCCAACCATGAACATTTTAAACTTGAAAGGAGGCTCCTGTCTTTTGTGATTGAGTACCTGGCAACAAAGGGTGAAGTGAGAATTTGGGCATGTGAGTGCAAATAATACAGTAAGGTTTGACCTACTGTGGGCATTAATGGTTCCTTTGTGAGTTTGGCCATTTTATCGTATCCATCATAAAGTTTTCTCTCATTCATTCAGTAGCAGTGGAGCAAGAGACTTAACATCAGAAAACTATTTCACCTTTGCAATAAAAAGAGTATTCTAGATTGCCTTTCCAAGGACCATTTCAACACCTGCTCAAAAGGTCCAGAGAGATCCTCAGTTAACACACTGGCATTCATTGTGTAGATTAGATAAGATTAGGCATTGCATTGATTAGGCAGAGGTTGTGGTGTTTCTGCATTTAGGGCAGCAAACGAAGAGAATAAAGCAACCCAAGTCAATAAAGAATCCAACCAAAACAAAGGCTTATTAAGGTGACTTAAATACAAGTCAAACAGCAATCCTCAGGATTCCGGTGTGAATGAAGCACAGGATCTCATCTGCTAATTTTATTCATGGACACAAACCAAAATGCAAACAAACTCGGATTAGTTTTAGTCCTTGACCAAAGAATGAAAACCACCAAGTGTACAAATGTTCTTATGGATTAACTACCTGGTGATTTGGAACGTCAGTACTGATTCCATTCTAAGTAATAGCAAGTAATGGTTCACAAGCACATTTATTTTATGTAAAATTATGCCCTCGTTATATGGGGAAAGCCCCTTTAAAGAGGATCAGATAAAGCACTCTTTAACTGTTATGAGCGGTGATTACCATCAAGCAATTAATCCCTAGCAGCACATCACTGCAGAGCTCACTCTCAGTATCTTACCTTGAACACCCTTGCTTCTTAACACTATAGGGCTGCATAGGCCAGAATCCAAATAACCATAGGAGTGTGTGACCTGGGAAGAGTCCCAAGGGTCAAACTAGGAAGCTTAGAAAGCTATCTTTGGCACTGAGACTGACGTTCTCCCATCCCTGCTAAACTCCCAAACTCATAAGAACATAGAAAGAGCCTCCTGAATCAGAACAATGGCCCATCTAGTCCAGCATCCTCTTCTCACAGTGGCCAGCTCTTTGGAAGGCACAGGAACATTTGCTTGTTCTGCGGTTTTCAGCAACAGCATTACTTACTCAATTAAGAGCCAGTGTGGTGCAGTGGTTAAGAGCAGTGGACTTGTAATCTGGTGAACCGGGTTCGCGTCCCCGCTCCTCCACATGCAGCTGCTGGGTGACCTTGGGCCAGTCACACTTCTCTGAAGTCTCTCAGCCCCACTCACCTCACAGAGTGTTTGTTGTGGGGGAGGAAGGGAAAGGAGATTGTTAGCTGCTTTGAGACTCCTTAAAGGTAAAGGACCCCTAACAGTTAAGTCCAGTTGCAGACGACTCTGGGGTTGCGGTGCTCATATCACTTTACAGGCCAAGGGAGCTGGCGTTTGTCTGCAGACAGTTTTTCTGGGTCATGTGGCTAGCATGACTAAGCCACTTCTGGCACAACAGAACACCGAAACCAGGGCAGTGCACGGAAACGCCGTTTAGCTTCCCTCCGGAGCGGTACCTATTTATCCACTTGCACTTTTGGCATGCTTTCAAACTGCTAGGTTGGCAGGAGCAGCGACCGAGCAACAGGATTCAAACTGCTGACCTTCTGATCGGCAAGCCCAAGAGGCTCAGTGGTTTAGACCACAGCACCACCCGCGTCCCATTTGAGACTCCTTAGGGTAGTCATAAAGCAGGATATCAAATCCATACTCCTCCTCCTCCTCCTCTTCTTCTTCTTCTTCTTCTTCTTCTTCTTCTCCTCCTCCTCCTCCTCCTCCCTCAATTAAAAAAAATGTTGCGACTTCCGGAGGCGGCGCCAACAGTAATGGCGATCTCCTCATAACTCTTGAGGAGAGGCTCCGCGGAAACTGGGTCGATCCGCTACGGCGCAGCGGAGACCCTTCCGAAACCCGCAGGCGGAGGAAGCCTGCGGTCGTGGGACTCGGCGGGTGCCTGGAGCGCGCCCCTGAACGGCAAAGGAACCCCACGAGGGGCTCCGAGCAGGACGGGGGTAGCGCGGCACTGTGAGTCGTCTGCTACTTTCGCGGAGTGAAGCCGTGCAGCTGTTGCTGGAGAGCGCTGACCTTTCTTCCTTGACAATTCGGCTGTCAAAAGTACAGACTTCCGGGGGGCGGCGCGAACGGCAATGGCGGTCTTCTCCCGATGGGAGAAGAAGCTCCGCTGAAATCGGGTCGTCCGCTACGGCGAAGCGGAGACCCAACGAGAAAAACCCCAGGCAGCAAGAGCCTGGGGTCCTGAGGCTCGGCGGGCGCCAAGAGCAGCCCTCCAACTGCAGAAGGAGCCTCGTAAGGGGCTCCGGAGCGTGGAGGGGGGTTGCGGCGCTGTGAGCCGTTTCACAGTCAGCGGAGTGAAGCCGCGCTGCTGCTGCCGGTGAGCGCTGATCCCTTTTCCTGTTAAAATTCGGACCTGGAAGAAAACAACTTACTCGTGAGTAAAGACTGAATCACTTGGAATTACAAATTTTAAATGAGAAGGTTTAATTTGGCTTGAATTTGGCTGAAAGCGGAGAGACGTGGAAACAGGAAGTCCGTCTTCCGCTGCCATTGAACTTGGAAAAAAAGCAACTAAGGCGGAGGAGTGGAGGCTGAAAGAAAGAGACTTTAAACTCTACACAGCCAAGCATCTATGGAACTTACAATTTAAAGTAAAACTAGTAAGTTAAAGATTTGGATCTTTTATTTGTACTTGACTTTCCCCCTTTTATTGGATTACAAATTGGAAGGTGAAACCCAGAGTCAGGATTGCTTGAGCACTGTAAGAGCGAGCTGTCAGTGTTGATTTGGATACTGTATATTAGAAGTTGCAACAATCTGAGGGTATTGAGACCTTTTAAATTTGAAACATTCTTTTTGGAGACAAATAAGCACTGTCTGCAACAAAGTGATTACTTTTAAACTCTGCTTAATACTTATATTGGAAGGTTCTGGGACATTAAATCAGACTCTGAAAGACATCTTAAGCTCCCTCTAGAGGATTGGATTAAAACAGTGACTTTACAAATACATTTACTTTCGATTCCCTTGTTGTTTGCTTGCTCTGGGCCTTTCTATTCCTGTGGGAAAAACTCAGTGTGACCTTGACTGATAGATAACATTGGAATGAGTGGTACAAGAAGAAGAGGAAGAGTTAGACAAACAACTCTAACAACTCTAACCTCAGCCTCGCAGACACGTAGATCATCTGTGCCTACTTTGCCCTCAGAAGTACAACTTGAAGAAGCTGACTTGCCACAGGCAAAAGAGGGAGAGGGTGAAGCAGAGCAGCTACAATTGGAAGATATGGCCTCAGGATCATCTGTTTCTGTGCTAGAAAAATCTTTGAAAAATTGGAAGCTTTGGACAAGAAAGTAGATGCGCAATCAGCAAAGATTGATAAAAATACAGACTGTCTAAACAAATTAACTACACAGGTGGGACAGAATACACAAGCAATTGGACAGTTGACGGAGGCCTCAGTAGAAAACCGAAAATTGGCTGAGGATACCAGACAAAAATTGGAAAATTTAGAGCAAGAGGTAAGACCACTCACTAAACAAGTTGGGGAACATCAGACTTATCTTTCTATGATAGAACTGCGAAATCGTGAGAATAATTTGAGGATTAGATCATTACAAGAGGCAGAAGAAGGAAATCTAACTGAGTTTTTGACCAAAGAACTTTCCAAGTTCTGGAATTTGGAAGAAAAGGACTTTAAAATTGTGTCAGCTTTCAGACTTGGAAGATTTATAAAGAAGGAGAGGCCCAGGGATTGTTTGATTACATTGAGATCGAAGGAGGAAAGGGATAAGATTTTGGGTCTACATTACGAAAAGTCACTGGAGGTTTTGGATAGAAGAATTGAGATATATAAAGATATCCCAAGACAACTGTTGGACCTTAGAGCCGCCTACTCTGAACTTGCTAAACTACTAAGGAGCAACGCAATTCCATTCAGGTGGGAATTTCCCCAAGGATTATCTTTTACCTTTAGAGCGAGAAAGGTCAAAATTAGAACATTGGAAGAGAGAGATAAATTTCTGGCTACATACGGAGAGGACCTACATAAAGGAATTGAACTACCTTCCGGGCCTGGGGCAAAGCCAGCGTCAATACCTCCACCTGGGGAGCTTGAAGACCCAGAGAAGACACCACCCCGGGAGAAATAACCAGACAGATCCAGGATGTCTCTGCAACTGTTGAGCTGGAACATTAATGGTTGCAATATTCCGGAGAAAAGGAAGAAAATATTTCATATATTAAAAAAGAACAATTGGACATTATTTGTTTACAAGAAACACATGTGACGAGGCTCCACAGAAAAGTGTTAATAAATAAAAGATTGGGCCAGGAATTTATTTCGTCGGACAAAGTGAAGAAGAGAGGAGTGGTGATATATGCAAAAGAGAGCCTGTCACCTAAATTTCTATTTAAAGATGAACATGGAAGGATTTTGGCTATTGAGATACAATATCAAGGAGAGAAACTGCTGATATTAGGAATCTATGCGCCCAATGAAGGGAAATCGGAATTTTACAAGAAGTTGCAGGGGACAATGCTGGATCATCTGGATTACAACAACATCATAATGATGGGAGACATGAACGGGGTCGTGTCAACTAACATGGACAAGTCGCAAAGTCAAAATGTCACAAAAGATGGCAGACTACCTAAAACCTTTTTGAAATGACTGACAATATGGACTTGATTGACATTTGGAGAACAAAGAACCCACTAGGTAGAGAAGGAACATTCTTTTCTGAAGCCCAACTGACCTGGACAAGAATCGACCAAATATGGATCTCTAGAGGCCTGGCACCTAGGGTTAGAAAAGTGGAAATCTGCCCAAAGACCTGCTCTGACCACAACGCAGTAAAGATGGATATGACACTACTACCAACTGGATCCTTTAGATGGAAGATGAATGACAATTTGTTTAGAGATCAGGAAATTACCAAGAAGGCCCAAAAAGTTTTGAAAGACTATTTCGAGATAAACATGAACAATTCGGTGGAAAAAGAATCGTCTGGGACGCAAGCAAAGCTGTCATGAGGGGATTCCTGATACAACAGAATGTAGTAAAGAAAAAAACACAAAATGAGAAAAAGACAAGATTTTGGATAAAATAAAAGAATTAGAGAAGAAATTAAGAGTGAATCCAAAGTCACAGCCAACTCTGAGAGAAATTAAACTGTATCAAACACAATATTCTAAATTGATAAATCAGGAAATTGAATGGAAGATTAAATTAATGAAACAAAAACGTTTGAGTCGGCGAATAAATGTGGAAAACTGCTATCTTGGCAGTTGAAGAGAAGACAAAGATTAAATACGGTTACAAATTTAGAGGTCGATGGAAGAAACATTCAGAATCCAGTGGACATTAGAAAGTGTTTCCAGAGATATTTTAAAAACTATATACCCAAGGGCCGCAAGACGAAGTCGAGATTAAACAATTTTTGGCAAAAATGGATTATCTAAACTGTCACAAGAAAATAGGACAACCCTGAACTCTAAAATAACACGACAGGAGATTGAACAAGCTATTCAGAACATGCAACTTGGCAAATCTCCAGGGCCAGACGGGCTGACCTCCAAGTATTATAAGACACTAAAAGACTATTTGATACAACCCTTGATGGAGGTTAGCAATGAAATTATGGAGGGGAAGAGGGCACCGGATTCGTGGAAGGAAGCGTTTATCACATTGATACCAAAGTCAGAAGCTGAAAAGACACAACTGAAGAACTACCGTCCCATCTCCCTTTTAAATGTGGATTACAAAATATTTGCAGATATTTTGGCAAGTAGATTTTAAAAAGTTTTAAATGAAGTAATTCATAAGGACCAGGCCGGTTTTCTCCCAGGTAGACATCTGTTTGCTAACACAAGGAACATTATTGATATCTTGGAACTTCTCCAAACTGACATAAATACAAAAGCAGTTTTAATTTTTATAGATGCGGAGAAGGCCTTTGATAATATTTCTTGGAAATTTATGATGGGAAACTTAAAAGAGATGGGAGTGGGACGGGGTTTTGAGAATGGGATTGAGGCGATATATTCAGAACAGAAAGCTAAACTGATAGTTAATAATGTGGTTACAGAAGAGTTCAAAATTGAAAAAGGGACACGACAAGGCTGCCCTATCTCCCCTTTGTTATTTATTTCGGTTCTGGAAGTGCTATTGAACATGATTAGAGGGGACCAGTTGGTGGAAGGAATTCAGGTTGGTCAGAAACAATATAAACTAAAAGCTTTTGCAGATGACCTGGTTTTGACCTTGCAGAAGCCAGAGCCTAGTACGAAAAGAGTATTACAATTGATTAATGACTTTGGTCGGGTGGCGGGATTTAAATTAAATAAACAGAAAACCAAGGTTTTGGGAAAAAATTTGACTGAGACAGAGTCAGAACGGTTTCAGAATGAGACGGAACTTAATGTGGTTAAAAAGTAAAATACCTAGGGGTAAACATAACAGCAAAAATCTAAGTCTATTTAAGGATAACTATGAAAAATGTTGGACAGAAATTAAGAGAGACTTAGACAGTTGGTCAAAATTGAAACTTTCTTTGTTAGGCCGAATTGCTGCGATTAAGATGAATGTATTGCCAAGAATGTTGTTTTTATTTCAAACACTTCAGGTTTTGGACAAAATGGAGTGCTTTCAGAAGTGGCAGAGAGACATTTCGAAGTTTGTCTGGCAGGGCAAAAAGCCCAGAATTAAGTTTAAGATACTAACTGATGCAAAACAAAGAGGGGGCTTTGCCCTGCCGGACTTAAAGTTGTATTACGAAGCCGCAGCGTTCTGCTGGCTAAAAGATTGGCTACTTCTTGAAGACACTGATGTGTTAGATTTGGAAGGGTTTAACAATGTTTTTGGATGGCATGCATATTTATGGTATGACAAAGTTAAAGCAAATAAGGCCTTTAAGAACCATATTGTTAGAAAATCACTGTTTAATGTCTGGACAAAATATAAAGACTTGCTGGAAAATAAAACACCAAGGTGGCTTTCACCTTTGGAAGCTAAGGCCCGAAAAGACCCAATATGGAGGCCAAATGGCCAAAATATTGGGAAATACTAGAAAAAGATGGAGACAATTGGAAATTGCAGAGTTTGGAGAAAATGAAAGACAAAGTGCGAGATTGGTTACATTATGCTCAGATTAAAGAAGTTTTTAAAAATGATAAGAAACTAGGGTTCCAGGTGGAGAAATCGAAATTAGAAACAGAATTGTTAGAACCAAAGACTAAGATACTTTCAAGGATGTATAACTTGCTGTTGGAATGGAATACACAAGATGAAATGGTTAAATCGGCTATGATAAGGTGGGCACAGGATATTGGGCATAATATTATGTTTGAGGACTGGGAAAGGCTGTGGAGTAATGGATTGAAATTTACTGCATGTAATGCTTTGAAAGAAAATGTAATGAAAATGATTTATAGATGGTATATGACCCCAGTCAAACTCGCAAAAATTTACCACCTGTCTGATAACAAGTGCTGGAAATGTAAAGAGTGTGAAGGAACGTTCTTTCACCTCTGGTGGACCTGCCCTAAAGTGAAGGCGTTCTGGGAAATGATTTATAATGAATTGAAAAAGGTATTTAAATATACTTTCACTAAGAAACCAGAGGCTTTCCTTTTGGGTATTGTCAGCCAAGGGGTGGCAAAGAAGGACCAGACATTTTTATGTATGCAACAACAGCAGCAAGGATACTACTCGCAAAACATTGGAAAACTCAAGATCTACCCACACTGGAAGAATGGCAGATGCAACTGATAGACTATATGCAACTGGCTGAAATGACTGGCAGAATCCGTGACCTGGGAGAAGAGAGAATCGAGGAGGATTGGAAGAAATTTAAGAACTATCTACAAAAGCATTGTGATTTGACTGAATGCTGAATAAGATGCTAGACTAAATAACTGAGCACCACTTAACTTAGAAGTTTTTAAGAAAATAAGAAAAACTGTGAAAGTTTAACTCTTTATGAGAACTTTAAGATTATGAAATATCGAAGAGATATAAGAACTTAAATAAGATGATAAATTGCTGACAAAATGTTATAATGATGAAGGTGGGAGCGGGAGATGTGAGGAAGTCCAAAGAAAATGTGAAATTATGTTAAGACGAATGTTATATTGTTTATTACATTTATTCCTATTGTAAAATCCAATAAATTGCTTTAAAAAAAAAAAAAAAAACAAAAAAAACAAAAGTACAACCCGTGAGTAGGTTTCACGCTATAAGGATTAACAAAATTTTTTTGAATTATTCGGCTGAAGCGGGAATGGTGTAAAAAGGAAGTCCACCTCCCGGTCTGTACAGAGAATAAAGCAAAGACTGTGTGAGTTCGATACCAATGAATGCCAAAAAGACTGAAACACAGACTTCTAATGTAAAATTTCCCCCCCCATAATTGGATTAGGGGGGGAAGAAGAGAAAGTATTTCTTTTTATTTACTGTTATTTCTGAGTAACTTAAAGACTTAATTTACTGTTATTTCTGAGTAACTTAAAGAGCAAATAAGAAAATAAAAGACCACCTCTCAATCCCTGGGGACAGACTGCCAGGCTTTGGAAGATTGGACACTTTGTTAGCACTCTAAATGGACAATGTATCTTTTTGCCTTTTAACTTTACAAAATTGAAACTTTGGGACAGTTTTACAACTTTGGGAAAAAGTTGCCTCTTTGGCTGTTTGAGAGTCTTTATTTTTGATACTTTATTACTTGTGTCCCCTGGAGGCCAAAAGGGAAAAAGCCTTTAATTGACTGAGGAATTTTCCACCTAACAGCAGCCTGGGAAAGTACAATAACAAACAATTTTGACTGTGAGAGTGACCTTGACTTTTAGATAAAGTGCCATGGAAGGAAGAGATCTGAGGTCTGGGAAAGGCAGGCAGCAGAGCAACATTGCACAACAGCAACAGCGTAGGCAATCCATAGCTGGACCACAAGGGGAGGAAGAAGGATTGGCCAGTTTATTTAAAATTGTGAATGAAGGTTTTGAAAAATTGGGTCAACAAAATGCCGAGGCTCTAGAAGCCATTAGACAAAACTCTGCAAGTATTGACAAGTTGACCCGACAGACTAATGAAAATACAGATGTGATTAAAAAACTACTGGAACAATCTGCTGAAACCCAAAAAAACAGCTTTGGAAGCCAGAGAAAAGGCGGTAGCTGCTGAAGAAAAACTACCACCTTTAATTAAACAAGTTCAAGAGCACCACATAAGATTGGGAACGCACCAGGAATTGTTATCTCTTCTGGAGTTAAAGGAGAAACAGACCAACTTAAGGATCAGAGCAGTACCTGAGATTGAAAAAGAGAGCCTGGCAGACTTTCTGACGCAAGAATTTGCCAACTTTTGGCAATTGAATGATAAGGAAGATTTCAAGATAACGTCTGCTTTTAGGCTCGGAAGAAGAGCAAGGAAAAATAGAGTGAGAGACTGCCTGATTACCCTGCGATCAAAAGAGGAACGAGATAAAATTTTGAGCCTACATTATCAAAATACACTGACAATACAAGACTCAAGGATAGAAATATTTAAAGACATTCCAAAGCTTCTTTTGGAGCTTAGGTCTAACTATCGAGACCTGGTGACGTTGCTGAGAGGAAACAGAATTTTTTCAGGTGGGAGTTCCCTCAAGGCCTATCTTTCAGTTTTAGAGGCAAAAAATTAAAATTAAATCTGTGGAGGAGAAACAGAACTTTTTGAGAGACTACCAAGAAGACCTGCAAAAGGATTGGAGCCAGAAGCCCCTTCAATAGGATTGGATCTTACATTACCACCGTTGGGAGAGGATAAGACAGAGAAGCCGAAACCACCAACAGAGGAAGAAGAGTTATTGGGAGCAGTTGGAGGGAAATAAAGAAATCATCATGGCTCTGCAACTTTTAACTTGGAATGTTTGTGGTCTGAATTCTCCGGAAAAAGAAGGAAAGTATTTCATATACTTAAAAAGAATAATTGGACTTAATTTGCTTACAGGAAACCCATGTGACGAGGCTCCATAGGAAAATATTGATTAATAAGAGACTGGGCCAAGAATTTATCTCATCAGA